TGATCTGTTCAGCAGTTTTAATTCATCCTTACAAACAACATACAAAAAAAGTATTTCTGAATTTTTCAAGAACTATAGCAGCACTCTATTTCAAAACTAGACACGTATTATTTTTTCAGTTCTAATGCCAAAGCATATTGTGCAATTTTACAGATTATCAACTTTATCTTTCCTGTTTACTTTAGCCCATTCTAAAACGAAGACTCATTTGATTTGATTTATACTAAGAAACTGTTGGCTACCTTGAAATGCATATACAATCCAAAGTTCTCTTATATTTTTCACCCACCTATATGAGGAACAGATAGAAGTTTTTAGTTTCTCTTTTTCAAAAGATTCTTGTGCTAATCTCCTGCTCCATTTAGAGCTTATAGCAAAAGACTTGGGTTAAAAACCCCAGTAATGAGAAATGTGTGCAGAGTATCCTGTTTACTGCCATCTATGCTCACAGAAGCACAGATGAGAGCTCTCCTCTGCCCACTTCAGGCTGCAAGGTGAAGATACTTAAATGCATAAATCAGAATTATTTTTCTGCTTATCTTTAGAATCTGACTTCCTCTTCTCATCAGTTTTTAAATTGCTTTCTTCTATCTTCAAGACAGTTTCCTGCAAAATAAGCCTAAAATCCTAATGGAATCAAAGTAGACAGGAGTAATTCTATGCTGTTTGAACTACTTGAGTGGTCAGTTACTAATATGCATTTGCATTCTCCATGCCATTTACACATAAGACAAATCAAGAGAGTGTCCTACCATGTAACAGATAATTTTATTTGGAAAAAAGTTAGGTTTTGAACTGGTTACATGTAAGTATGCTCACATGCTAGCCACTTAAAGCAGAACATAAGCATATCTAACATATTCCAATGAAAAGTGGTGATTAATAAAAACCGAAGAATGTAATCTGCTTTATTAAACACATGCTTCACTCCAATTTTATTCATTACTTTATTTTAGTCAAAAATTATTATAAAGTAACAGAAGCAGCTCAGTAAATTTCAGTTGACTCTTCAAAATCAGTAGAATTTATAAGTTAAATCCAAAGCCATACTCTCTTTTAACATGATTTTAAAAGCGATTCTTTTGATAGTACTGAATTATCAAACTGCACATTAGATTAACAATTTACACAATCCTCAACACTAACTGAGGGGAAAAGGAATTAAAACACAATTGCTTCTCTGCCATACATAGGCTGCTGCAGAACTACAGAAGTACAGTGAGGTAAACCTGCAATGATTAATTGCTTCTTACTATATATGCAATAATTAGTAAGACCTATATGTAACAGAAACCTAAAGGATTTCCTGGCATACTTTCCATGTAATGCTAAGAACTTAAAAAAAAAAAAAAAAAAAAAACAAAAACAAACAAACAAACAAACAAAAAAAAAAAAAAAAAAAAAAAAAAAAAAAAAAACAAACCAAACCTAGCACTCTCCCCTGTAAACAATTCTGACATCCACTCTGACAGCTGATCGCTTCCCTGGAATCTCCAGTGTTTCTCTGTAAAGCAACACTACAATTGCAAAACAGAGCTAAACTTAAATACACTTCTGATTAAACTAGCAGGTCCTCAAACACAGTAAATGCATATCCTAAGCAGCATTAATTAGAGCTTTTCACTTACAAAAAGCAATTAAAAACAAAAACTCCCTCTTACTGTCTCTTAAAAATATCATAAAAATTTTTAGCAAAAACTATGCCATGTCAGTGTTCTACAGGGGAGAGGGACAGGGCAGGGAAAGAGTGTACACCACTCTAAGACTTGTTCTTTTTTACAAGCCTTTGGAATGCCTCTTCTTATCAGCAAGAGTTGGGAGTGTCCAGAAGAGAAGGTTTCTCCTTCCAGCTATATTATTTTTCTTCAAGAAAACAAAGGTGAGACCTCCAGTATTTCCAATGATCCTTACCTATGGACACTTTATTACATAACCACAGGAGAACTCCAGCATACTACAGTAAATCTGAATGAACACAGAGAGTGGCCTACTGATGCAATGGCAACAAACTTTAAAAGGAGGACCTGGATGTAACCAACTCCTACTATCTGCATTGGGACACAGACCTAAGAATAAAGAAGAGTGTCACTATGCATTGCATAACTCAGAATTCAAAGGAAGAGTTCAGCAGCTCTGGTTTACAAGTTTCGCAAGGACAGGAAAAATAACAGGATTTTTGCTAATATGACACTACTGTAGAAACTGGGGAATCCTGCCCCAGTTTACATACTTGATTGCAGGCACACTGGAGCAGCTCTTCTGATTTTGAGTCACTATACAACTGATTTTCTGGCAGAGGCAGAAGGGTTTTTTCTTCTTTTTTTTTCTAATTCGGGTGAATGTTACACTGTGCAGAATCGGACAAATGCAGTACAAGGCTTGTTTAAAAGACAGAACATTTTTATCAGTAGTTTCAGTCTTTTTAACATAGCTAAAAGTAACTTAAAAGAATCACCTGAAGACAGCTTGCAGCAAGCACTTATTTTTGTTTATCACTACATCCATTGCCTCACCTAGCCTTCACACTTCATTATCTCAATTCTAAAATGAACTTGAGGGTTTTTGCGGGGGATTTAAGTTGCAGGGTTTTTATAAGCTAACAATGAGTATTTGCTTAAAGTGCACAAAATAAGCCATTTCCAATTAACAGACATGGCTTAGGTCATGATGTTTTGATTATGGCACCTTAGTTTTCAAGTCTAATGTTTTAAATGGCATAGGAAGCACGAAGAAACAAAATGTGATACCAACGCCCTGTTGTAGATCCTTACTCCTGATTCTTCCTGTCCAAAACCCAGATGAAATCTCTTTCCCCACAGACATTCTTTCATGAGAAAGAACAGGAAAATGGGTAGAAATTCCAGCTTATCCCAATTTCCAACTTTATACTGAAAGATAAAAAAGAAGAGGAAGAGCAATAAAACTAGCAAACATTTGTCCTTTTTCCAAGGGTTCTACTGACTCATGAAAAGGGTTTGGCTCTGAACTCCATCAGTATTCCTGTGATTCAAGAAGCACTTGTAGGCAAGTGATTATTTAAACTTTATTGAAAACCCTTTAACAAAAACATACTGGCTGACCTACAGTGTTCTTTTCAGTGATATTTAGCAATAAATATAAACAATTTTGCAAGCAAAAATAATCCATATTCTTTTGGTGACAAAGTATCCCATACCAAGAGAATAAATCAGTCCCAAAGCTCTCAAGCTTTCAAGTATGATTGTGTATTTAAGGGAATTATTCTGCAGTATCGCTGGGGAAAGTCTACATATGGTACTAAAGTGCTCAAGCTAGAAGCACTTACAGGACTAGACCTTTAAAATATAGCTCAAAATACACATTGAAGAGGTGACAAAGTTCACAAGCAGCATCAACCAAAAGTATTTCCAGTTTCCCCATTTGAAAACATCTTTGTCATGAATCCAAGTAAATCCTGCTTTTGCGGCTGTAAAATTTTTTTCAAGAAGTTTTTTTTCTCTAAGTGAATTTCTTTAATCTTTTTTGGTATTTAAATCGACCAGAAATAGTTATTCAGTTTATACCTTGACCAACACGGACTCAGATAAGGCAGCATAGAATTTTTTTTAAAATATACAACCAGTCCAAGTTAATAAAGCATTATCACAGCTTTGTTTCTATATTGCAGACTAAACAGTATACCAATTCTAAGAGTGGATTTATTACTATGAAGATCATGCTGTCTTTCACATGTATGACCATATATAACCCAGCCACCTACAGTGATTGCATCCCCTAGTAACCCATTATTATTAAACTATATAACCTGAGTTTCTTCCAATGCACAGCATTCTGATTACTTTTTAGAAGACGCAGCTTCTCTGTGAAAATGAAACTGAAATATGAATACCTCTTTTTACACTTTCACTCAAACATCGAAGAGCTCCCATTAAAATGATTAGATGGTGTTAAGTCCTTTTCTCTCTTTGATGTACAGTTTAAACATTTATAGATCTGGAAGCAGAGCTAGATCATCCTAGTTAAACAGGGATGAGAATTGGTATCGTTCCAAAAATAAGACAACTACAAATAAAATCAAGTAAACAAACACACTGAGTTGTAACATTTCGCAACAACAAAGATAAGCGACACAAACAGGTCTTTCGAGGTCTTCAGTTCACAGAGTCTGCTCAGCCAAACACCCATGACGGGGACCCGAGAGAGGAGCAGACACCAACAACCCGAGCGCTGACCGAGAACTCCCCGCCGTGCGCCCCGGCACCGTGAGGGGCGACAGCAGCGCACCGGGGAGGGGACACGGCTCCTCACCTCCTCCCTCCCCGGCGTCACCAAAGGAAGGTGAAGACAAACGTAACAATATCCTTCTCCTCTGCTTTCACCCCGCACAGGAACAAGCCAGGGCCGGCCGTGGAGCTGCCTCTGACTCCTAGCCACTAAAGCCTCTCGCAATCCACTCAGCGTTGACACAGGTCACGACTCAGCCCTCAGTCACCCTCGCAAAGGCCGTAGACAGGAATAAACAAGGTTATTCGCCTGACATCGGACACCGGGGACAATCCCCCTCCCTCTCCCCCCGCCCCATAGCGACACAGGCTCAGCACAGCCCCGACCCTCCCTCCCCTCGCCAGGTGCGGGCCCACAGGCCCTCAGTCCAGCCCAGACGCGAGCCAGAGTGGACAACGGCAGGGAAGCAGCAATTCCACGAACACCATGAGGGGCATCCGGAGGGGAGAAGCAACAGCCGCCGCCCCCCGCCAGCAGAGCCCAAGAGGTGCGACGAGTGGAAGTGCCGGAAAGGAGAGACCGAGACCTCACCACGGCTCCCTTCGCCATTTTAGCCCCCACGCCCATTCCCCTCCTCCCCGCCCCTCGGTGACAGGGGCAGATCGCACCCGTCCGGCGCCCACCCCCCTGGCTGCCCACGGCCGAGCGGCGGCGAGGAGCGAGGACGGCAGCTGTGGTTCTGCCGGGCCAGACCGCAAACCGAAGCGGCTGCGGCACAGCCTGTTTTGTGCACTTACCGTGGCTCGCAGCCTCACAGCTGCTGCCGCCTCCCTTCTCCTTCCTCCCACCTTTCTCTTCTTCTTCGCTTCCTCGCCGCCGCGGCGGCTCCTCACCCCTCCGCGCCGCGCTCCGCCGCCGCCGCCGCGCAGAATGATGCCATCTCACAGCGGCATCGGCGGCTCCCGCACAACAGCCCTCCTCCCGCCCCTCCCGGCGCTGCTCCCGCCGCCGCTCCCGCTGCTCCCGACGGCCGCCCCCGACGGCCGGGCCAGCCTCGTGCGCGCTCCCGGGGCACGGGCAGTAGGAACTTGTGGAGCTAGAGCCGGAGCCGCTGGAGCCGCCCCGGCGGGAGGGCCCAGTGGGGACCGAGCAGTGCGCAGCGGCGGTGGGAGGGAGGAGGCGAGCCTGAACCGAGGCTCTTCAAAGGGGACAGGGCTTATTCCTAGCGCCTGCCCCGGGCTGAACCAAGTCGGGCGCCGCGGCGGGGAGAAGAGCCGACAGCACGGACTCGACCTCGGGGGAGGCGGGGCCGGGCTGCAGCCCCGGGGCACCGTCCGCGGGACAGAGCCTGCTGGGGCAGGATAAGGAGCGCTGCTGCGAGCCGCTGTCCCCCGACAAGGCTCCGCTGCGGCGCCGCAAGCCGGCGCACCCCGGTGCGGTGAGAGCGATAAAGGCGGGGGTGTCTCCTGCACCCGCCTCCCGCCCTCCCTCCCGGGCCGTGCAGGCAGGGCGGGCTCCTGCGCCCCGCCGGGAGCCTCTCCGTCGCCGCCGCCGTGACAGGAGCCCGGCCCGCGATCCCCCTGGCTGGTCCCCGTCCTCCACTGCCGAGCCTCTTCTCCATGCTGGGCTAACGCAGCGTTTCCCGCTGCCGGGCGCACGGATGCAGGCAGGGCAGAGGCAGAGGCAGCTCCGCGGAGCTGCCCCACTGCAGGGCGAGACACCGCCCGCCCCAGCGGCACCTCCGACAGCCCGGCATGGGCGAGGGGCCGGCTTCCCCCTGGCAGGAGCCACGGGCCTCCCCTGCGGATTTACAAACCCAAAAGTAGTTATATGCACAAATATGTGGAGCTGAAGTTGTGTCTTACATTGAAGACTAATGAAGCTTTGTCTCCGTACCGTACAACATTACGCTGTGGAGGCAGTGACAGCGTGAACTTTCGGGCATAAATAAGGCCTTTGAGTGGTTGTCCCAGAAAGTCCAGCACCACTGTTAATTGAAAGGAACAAAAGCTTACAGTATGAGACCCTGAAGCAACTTTCAGCAACGTCTGGTATTTCATTATTCTTAAAAACAACATGGGGGCCAGCAATCGGATTTGAGCATGTAAATTCCTTCATGAAATACAAGGAATGCTCTCAAAAGTACTACTTTCCAACCTATGCATTCTCCCTAGAAAATCTATAGGAAAACAAAGTTTCCAAACAGTTTGGAAAGGAAACAGTATTTACAGCTCGACTTTAAATGTCTCTTAGATTATCGTAGAATAAAAAATACTGGTCTTCTCTTGACTGGTGATACTAGTACAAGTGACTGGAAACTGATGGTTTGAGCTTCTGCACACAGCAAATGTAACAGAATATGTGGGCTCTACACTCACAAAATCTGGATGGGCAATAAGACTAGGTGTATGCAGTTAGCAACATAGTTGCTAAATACAAATTAACCAAATTATACCATCTGATTTAAAGAATTCAGCATATACTGTTTTCTCTACAACAATTAAAGCTTACATTTAAAGAAAACTAGAGTGTCTCTTTACTTTTGAGATTGTCCAAAATTAGGAACTTGCTTGCTACAAGGAGCCACTTTTGCAGTATTTTGGTAGCACTTCCAGAGTATGGTACTAAGCTTCATCTTGCTTTTCTGACTGATAGTTCTTCTGGTGTAAAGCAATCTAATTGAAAGGGATGTAGCACTATATTCCTAGCTGCAAAGGGTGTGTGAAGACAACATTGTAAATGGCAACATTCTAGCTCTAGTCTTTGCAGAAGATATTAATTTCTCTTCTATAAAACTTTGCTTGTTACTAATATCAGTAATCTGATTCTGATACTTCATGGAAAGTATGAGCATTATTTCTTAGTATATGTATAAAAATTCTAAGTACTTCTTTCTTGCCTTATGAAGTATTAAAAGTGTGTAGTTATTTAATACTCTGTGCACAAGTTATGGGCTTCTCTGGCCTGCCTCCTTCCTGTTTCAAAAAAAATTTTGTCACACATTTGTCACACTCTGGGGAACCGTGACATTCCACTATTCTTCCATCTTAAAAGACATTTGATATCCTAATGAATGCAAAATGTCACAAGTTTGTTAGTGCTGCAAGTTTGGTTTTAAATGTCTTATAAAACCTCAAGACTTTTTAATATTTCTGACTACTTTTAGAGTAGTAGGTAATGGAAACATAGAATCATAGAATAGTTTCGATTGAAAAGGACCTTCAAGTTCATCCAGTTCCCCACCCTCCCTGCCATGAGCAGGGACATCTTCCACTAGACCAAGTTTTACTCGGAACTCTTCCAACATGTCCCATCCAACCGGGCCTTGGACACTTCCAGGGATGGGACATCCACAACTTCTGTGGGCAACTTGTTCCAGTGCCTCAGCACCCTCACAGTAAAGAATTTCTTCCTAATATCTAGTCTCAACCTACCATTCTTCAGCTTAAAGCCATTCCCCATTGTCCTATCTCTACATCTACATGGTAAAAAGTCCCTCTCTGGTTTACTTGTAGGCCTCCTTAGGGACTGGAAGGTGCTATAAGGTCTCCCAAGAGCCTTTTGTTCTCCAGGTTGGACAATGCCAATGTTCCCAGCCTGTCTTTATAGAACAGCCCCCTTACATTCCCGTCCCAGATAAATATTTAAGTATTAAATACTTAAAGGTTAAAAGCCGTGCATTGAAAACTTGCTGGAAACATTCAAGTTATGGAGTTATACTTGTATACTTATATCTGAGAAAGTGCAAATACAATTGTCTCAATTTTGCAGATAAATACCTTTGTTTGTTTGTTTGTTTGTTTGTTTGTTGTCTTCTTTGTTTTGGCCAGAAAAGATTACCGTCCAATACAGACTCTATCATACAGTGCTGAAGGCTAGCAGGAATTAATGCAGGTCTAGTGTCCTTGTAACCTTAGAGCTTTGCTCTTAGCAGGGTGAAATAAAGAGTGTTTATTAACCCCTTCGCTATCCCTTTAGAAAAGTTAACCTCAGGTAAGGTTTAATTAGACACTAAACTTGCGACAACAAATCAACTGAAATTGGAATATTGCAAGAGGGTCTGCATGAAGATTTTTGTAAAAATAGATATAAGAGTACCTATAAGAGTACCTTCTAGACACAACATTCCTGAGATAGTGATTTGTGATACTAGAGAAATATTTTAACTGCATGTCCTTATATATTTCTGACATTTTTTTCCTTTACTCGTTACAAAGTAAGGAGAGTTTTGGAGAATTTGGATTCAGAATAGATCTCTATAAAACAGACTCCAGAATTTAATGGGTTTATCCTCAGATTTTAGTAGATCTTGTCTGGCATGCTTGAACAATGTACATGTCATAAACATGGATTTTAGGACAGACTATTGCAATATCTGGGTTTTAATAGACTAGAATGTATCCAGTGGCTGGAGTTGTATCTTACCTTTTCAGTAATTGTTTCTCTGCTGTAACTGCACAAACAGGAGTGGCAGGGAGCTCTGCTGGCCTTTAATTGCAAAGTCTAAGTAGTAGTTTTGCTTAATTTATACTTCTGGAGAACTCTTGTAGACCTCAATAGGCAGTAAACCAGTAAAATTGCAAATTAATGGCTTTTGTAGCCCATAAAATTACTGTACAATACCATCTGTTTGCATTTCTGTTTGTCTTTGATTTGTCTAACATTTTATGAAAGTCTTTTGTTAAACTATAATCCCTGAATGTTGCAAGATAGTTTAAAAACTTCTGTAGAAATGTAGAAGTGACGTGTAATAATCCAACTTCCTTAACAATAATGCAGTAATAAAAGATGAGGCTGAAACCAAATCTTTCTGACATTAATAGACTCCAATGCAAGCTGATTTCACCTGAGCAAAGGCATGCAAATCTAGTCAGTGTGGTTTCTGTTTGAAATGAGCAAAGTTTTGTAATACAAGTATTGAATGCAAATGGTTAGGTTGATTGCTTATTCAGTCCTTATTTCCAAATTAGGGGCGAGGGGGGAAGGTGTCTAATGAGTAGAGGGGAAATTTCCTTGGTAAATGTTGTTGGGTTTTTTAAATTTTTTTTTCATGGAGATTTATTATTGCAAAACTCATGTAGAGTAAGAAAAATTTTGGACAAGTTTCTTTGGACCATATTCAACAAAGCATTTAGGCACCTGAATTGTGGTTTAGCTAAAATATAAATTTTATCTTCAACAGCACAAGCCACAAAACCCTGTAGATGTAGTCACCCAAGTCTGCCAGTGGATGTACTCAGTGTCCATAGGCATTGGCAACAGGTACCTGATGTCTTCATTGCAGTAAAAAAAAAAAAATTCCTACTTGGCTTGTGCCTGGTTTGTTTGGGGCCCAGGTGGTTGGTAATGTGTCACCTTAAATCCATGGAAAGGTGAATCAGGGAAGTGTGATTAAAGGTGTATCCAGTACAGAAAAAAATCTGAAATCAATACAGAGTACAGAAGTTACAGTGAGGACAGAAGCAGAGAGAAACATGGTAGCAGTGATCACCAGGCATTACAGTGTCATGACTGGAGAACTCAGAACCTAAAACAACCTGTGTTCTGTGCCCTCCAAAAGTCAAACCAATCCCTCTTTACAAGTCAGAATGTGCCCAATTAGTGCTGTCTGATTAGGGACCAGGATTATCCTTCCTGTGCCAGCCCTATGGAGCTTTACAGAGGCACACTGCAGTAGTGCAGCAGAGTAATGCCAGACAACTCAGCAGCTAGGGAACATGAGCTGGAACAGCTGGGAAGTTTTAGTTCCTGGTCCTGCTTCCCAACGGTGTTCAGACATTTTAATCAATGGATTTTCAATGCACAATATTGGCTCCTGTTCCAGGACAATAAACACTCCCTATAACAACTGAATGTCTGCACTTTTG